GCAGCGCCGAAAACGGCGACGTTGAAGCCGTCTGGTCGAGAGCTCTTCGAAAACGTATATTTCGTCTATGCATCCCCTTCGTCGTGGATTCATCGAGCTTCAAAAATGGTTCAGGAGGTGTGTTATCTTGTGTCGTACGCGGTAGGCAAGCTGCGTTCAGGCAAGTCACGCACACGTAACACTTTATGCCATCAACCGTCCTCGGTAGTTGGCGGTTGGTGAATCCGCTTCTGATCAAATCGAGGAGAAACACCAACAGGGTGTTCATTGTTCATACACACTGCGGGCTACAACTATCGAATGGGATGACGGAAAAAGAAACAACGGGCACGGCTTGGGATGTGTGCCTATGCAGTATAGACTTGTCAGGATTGGCAAGTAAACCGACCCGTAAGGACTCCATCCCTAGAAAGTTGCTAAATAGTGGTAGGCTTGAGCTACACATGACACATGTTTTTTATGCCCGTAAAAATCACACACACACAAGGTAGGTATGCCATTGTACCTTCTTCGGACCAACGGCCCCGGAAAACGATGAGACCAGCCCCCACGACGTCCGAGAGACCAAAACAGGACGTTACAACAACAAAAAAACCACACACACACACACAAAAGGATGTAAGCGCGGAAGACTTGACCACAGCAGTCCGCAGATGAATCGCATAGGGCACACAAACCTTGCCGAGCTGGCTCTTGCCGACAGACATGCCCATGGCCGACGAGATGGAGGTGGAGGAGTGCCCGGCACCGAAGCAGTCAAACTCGGACTCCGAGCGCTTCGCGAAGCCGGACAGGCCGCCGCTCTGCCTCAGCGTGTGCATCCGATCTCTCCTTCCCGTGAGGATCTTGTGCGGGTACACCTTTTTTAATCCGAAGAACAAGGTGGAAACAAACAGAACACGTCAGGCAAGAGGAATGCGAAAAAAACAACTGCTCAGCGGAAAATTACTATTAACAGCAATCAGCTGGCACCCTATTGAAACATTCAGTGTGTAGGCCAAAACAGACTCAAAATAAGCCCAGCAGTATCCAGCAGGTTCCCCCCCCCCAAACACTGTCAAGACTTCATTCCATCTCCTTCGAGTGTGCTTATATCCCGAACGAATAGTCTTCCTCTGATTGTGTGTACACTTCCTAACTTACATGTAGAGCAGCTACCGACGTTCAGCGCCAGCATGACAGACAACACCGGCTGCAGCAGTAGTAGTTACCAACTGATCACGGCCGCGAGAGCCGATCGGGAAACCCACCTGGTGCGACACATCCCACGTGATTTTGTCCTCGGGGGCCTCGAAGACGTAGTGCAGAGCCACCGTCAGCTCGATGACGCCCAGGGAAGAGCCGAGGTGACCCCCCGTCTTCGACACCGCCTGTTGGTTTCCGCCACACGAAAGACGTGACCGAAATGTGAAACGTTACGGGGCTCCGAGATTGAAAAGCTGTGCCACAATCAAGAAGCAGCACTTCACTCGACCTCGGCCTATTCTCTAGTCAGAAATCGGTATAATAGGTGAACACGAAACAAAGGAGAGTACGAAGGAAACTCGAAACACTGCTGGGTGTTGGCGCTGACGGAAGCTGGTGTATCTCCGAAAAAGCAGAAAACACTTTGAGAGAATGCCCGTGGAACGCTGGCATTGTGAATGCAGGGCACGGTGCAGGGCACGGTGGTAGCAAAGTCCCACGAGCGAAACCAAACTGTAGCAATTTCCGGTCGATTTCTCGAATGCATTTATACCAAAATGTAGTTACAATGCAAGACGGACCGATTTTAGTGAGACATGGGTGGGGTAGGGTGAGCGAGAAACAATCTTCTTTTTCCTGTTTCTGCTGCTCCGGGGATGAGCACCTTCTAGAGCGCATAAGCACAAACATGTGGCAGGACACAAAAAGAGAGTTGAGCACGTCCATCGCTGTCTAGCCGACACCAACTGATGTGAAATTGGGCACCATGACGATGTCGTGCCGACAAAAGCGACGAAATAGCGCTTGGGTCTCACGAACGCAGGCAAGTAATTTCCGTGCTGCTGTTTTGGAGAAACTGGGGCAAAACTGAAAAGTGCTAGAGAGCAAAAAAAAAGCGTACCCGGTCATCATGTAAAACGCGGGCGTAATAGGATTCCATCCCAGAATTCGGCATCAGTCAAAGGAGTCAAAGGGGTGTGCCGCACCAACAATGACCCGATTCACACCTCTACTTGAGCTGAGAGACATCGCTGTAGGACACGCGCAAAGGTAAAGCCAGATCGACGTAGGGGCTCGGGAGCCGAAAAAACTACTTCTACCTCGTACAACGCAATACCGTGTTCGTCGTTTTTCCGTTCTAGAAGGTTGTGTGGAATGGGGAAGCTGATAGCATGGGGTTGTGGCCGAGGGGTGGGGGAATTGGCGCATGTGCTTGTGCTACGCTGCTGCTGTTGTCCGCTTGATACATTAAGCACCAAAGAGCACCCTTCTTCCTATGCAGACACCAGGTACGTACTTTCGAGAAACAAGGGATAGCACTCCTTGCCGTGGATCACAGACTGGCAAAAAGGACTGCAAACTCGCAACGTCAAGACCAAGTCATTTTTGTGTAGGTCAGTCAGAGAGCGGGGGATATCGCAATCGTTGCCGGGCGGGTGTCTGTCTGCAATTAGACAATTAGTCTTGAGAACGTGTGACTTGATAACTACAGCAGCAGATCAGAAGGCTGCTCCCCGCTGGTACTTGAGACAGGTGCCGACTTCCAATTTGTCGGGAGTGCGGCAAACTTCCAGCAAAAGAACACACGGGGAACGAACAGCGGTGAGGATATGGTCACATCCATAGCGTGGAGAATCCACACCGCGAAAAACAAACGTCGCAGCACCAGAGACATTGGTTGGCCGAAGAAACCTCATGCCAAGAGCGAAAGACTGCTGCTGTGCTCCACGCCCACGGAGCAACCAGCTTGGGGGTGCCCTGTTGCTGATCAACTTAGTTATGTCTAGTGCATGCGGCGGAATTGGGTACAAAATCGCCAGCGAAGCGTCGAGTTCCTTCGGTCGCGTAAGATAGCACCCCCCATGGACCGGTTCCAAAGCTGACTACTTCGGCAACAGCAGCAGCAACAGCCCTTGTAGTGACAGAGTAGTCGAGCGTTGAGGTTCGATTCAGGGGGGGAGGCCTCTCGTACCACCCACGGTAGTCGACCTTCTTCCGGCTTTGTTGCCGCAAACCCCTCCAACCCCTACTAAACCTTGCCCGATGCCCATCCCGCGCAACCGGCCTCAGATTCCTCAACAAGGCGGGTTTGTATCAGGCTCCAGGAGCCTGAGGCCCGCCGTTGAGCTACCAGGAGGACACCCAGAGGCCAGTCTCGCGGCATGTCGAGCCAGGAGAGCCAGCGGTCGCCGCGGGTGGCGGGTGGGTGGGGTTTGTGACAGAACCGGGTGAAACCGACTGTTACTGCACCTAGAGAAGTAGGCAGACATTGCTCTATCTCGGCCGAAAATTTACCACATGTTGATTAGACTAGGCTTGGACCACATAAACACCACGCCATATATGGGTTGCCACTGGCATTTGTTTGCCTCACGACAAGCACACACAGGGGCGGGGAGGGCCGAACGCCGATATCGATCCCAGGACTGCTGTACTCTGGAAGTACCATACAGCCCACCAGACACGCTTGCGTACTCGTATACATACGTAGATTGGCTGCCCATGATGCGTCAACAAACAGCTCATAGCCGAAGAAACCCGTCTACAGAATCGCTGCAAATCGGTCTGTGCGCCGAGAATGGCACAAGAGGCAACAGGTCTTTTTGGATGTTGCCTCGATTTTTGCACGTGAAGTAATTCCGGTACTCAACTTTAGAGGTAGATGGCAAGAGAGTCCATGGGTTAGTCTCCTGCTTGAACAAGCCAACATTGGTGTATCCGATTGGGCAGCAAACATATATTTCGTCGTGCACAATCGAAGACATTGCCTATCCGGTGTGTGCCATTTTCGGCGAGAGACATGATCCGAAAGCTGCAATCAACCTGATGTTGCTGTTGCATGCACAAAGAGAATGCCGTGGGTGCATCCACAGCACGCAGCAAAGCTCGCCAACGTAATCGAATAAACTCGGTCAGCAGCTCAGTGGCGTTACCAGTGCCGCATGCACACGACGCAAACTGCTGTCGGTGCTGCCGCTGCGCGTCCACTGCAGTAAAAAAGCCAGTCGTTCGCTCACTCACCTCCAAGGTCTCCCACCGAAGCTCGTAAGCGAGCTGCTTGAGCTCGGCGATGGTGAAGCGCTTCATGTCCGCGGGGCTGTGCACCGAGTCCAGCAGCGGCTTCGACGTGGGGCCGTAGTACCTCTCCCCGCCGCCCACCTCCGCCCCCACCGCGCCCTCCTTGGGTACGCTGCTCATCATCATCCTCCCTCCCCTCCCCCGCCTTCCCGGCCTGCTGCTGCTTGCACTCTCCGACGAAACCCTGCCGGCGCCAACGGAGAAGCTCCCGACTACCGGCCGAGACGGGGCGAGGATCGAGGGCACCGCGAAGGAGGAAGCGGTTGCCACGAGGGCAGCGCCGCTGAGCGCGAGAGTAGCCGTGCCGACCATCTTGCTTGTCGCTTTGCCGCGATTCCTGTCGGTTCGACGTGTCTCTGAGACAAACCTTTCTCTCTGCGTGTGCGCACGCGCAGAGCTTTGACGGACCTGAACCCGAGCCCAGCGAGATTTGGCAGCTTCCTCCTTACTGCTTCCGTCTGCTACCGAGGAGTAAATTTCGCGGTACTTGTACAGCGGAGACGAGCACAGGAAAAACGAACAGCCTCCACTATTATGAATGTGTCCCGAGGTTGCATGAAGCAATCTTGCATTTGGTCATTTGGTCCGTTCGTTGAATCCCCATTTTCCATAAAAAAAAAAAATAACCCCCACCCTATGTTGGCATTATTTTTCTTCATTTTTGTATATCCGACCTCTATATTCCGCCGCTTATACTGATCGCGTATCCCCTCTTGGCGAACACGCGCTGTGGCACAGTGTGCTCTCGACCGGCGTCGAGTGCTACCCCCCCCGTCCTAACAGGCTGCAACCATGGGTAAAGTTATCCGTGGGCAGAGGAAGGGTAAGGGAGGTATCTTCACCTCCCACACGCGCCTCCGCAAGGGGCCCGTGAAGCTCCGCAAGCTCGACTACGCGGAGCGCCACGGCTACATCAAGGGCGTCGTGAAGGACCTCATCCACGAGCCCGGAAGGGGCGCGCCGCTGGCGAGGGTCCAGTTCCAGAACCCCTACAAGTTCAAGCGGGACAACGAGCTGATCGTGGCTGTGGAGGGCATGTACTCCGGGCAGTTCATCTACTGCGGGAAGAAGGGTACGCGCAAGTTCTTACCCACACACAACACGGAAATTTTGTGTGGGCACGAGGGAACGGGTTTGATGGGTGGCTCCCGATAACAGCCGCAGCAGCAGCATCACCTATTCGACGCGAGCGCTTTGATGGGTGGCTCCCGATGATAGCCGGTTCGCCTGGGGGTGTGCTTCGTGTTTGGGAAACGCAGCCCCCCCTTCGCACGGCGGCAAAGCGGCGGTCCTCCTCTGGTGACCTCTTGATTCACCCCCTTGCACGCCTCCTCTGTGCTTCCTCTCTATTTTCGAGACACTTTTGGTTCGAAGGAGAGAGGTACACAGGGCCAGCGCAAAGCAATGGGTCCGTTGTGAGAGTGTCGTCGGTTGGACCGCATGCACTTTGATGGATGGCGCCCGAAAACAGCCACGGCAGCGTTCTGCTTGCTTTTTGTTGCACAGCTGTTTTAGAATAAGTAGAGAGCACGTGAGCAAGTCAGTAGATGCGTTCACATGATATGAAAAGATGTGCGCGTGGATGTGTGGAGTTGTTTTGTGCACAACTCGTTGGTAGTCGCCCCACATGCCTCTTTCTTCGCGATGAACCAGCTGTGTGGTGACATGTCCCGATTTTAGTTAGCGATAGGCATCATGCCGCAGGGACGCAACTCTCAGCGCGTGTTTGCGATTGTGTATCGCCGCCCCCCTCTTAACCAACCCCACACCCGTGCTTCTTTCCTATGGCACAGCCTCCCTCACCGTCGGCAACATCATGCCCGTGGGCTCCATGCCCGAGGGTACCGTCTGCTCCTCCATCGAGGCCAAGGTGGGCGACCGCGGCACCTTCGCGCGCTGCTCCGGCGACTACGCCGTCCTCATCTCGCACGATGAGGAGAAGGGCACCACCAAGCTCCGCCTGCCCTCGGGCTCCAAGAAGACCATCAGCTCGGACTGCCGCGCCATGGTCGGCATCGTCGCGGGCGGCGGGAGGACCGACAAGCCCATGCTCAAGGCCGGGCGCGCTTACCACAAGTGAGGCTTGTTTTTTCTTTTCTCTCACGAAACCAACACGATGTTATTGCGTCGACCTACATTTCTCGAACGGGTACGCAATTGTTGTCTTTCTGTGCGTACATGCATGCATATATTTTCTAGAAACCACCACGAGGTGATCGTCTTTTTTGTCACGTTGGCCCGCTTCCTTTTTTTATAACAAGAGAACGTCCATTCTTGTTGTGTTCGTTGTGGTCCGCTTGGGTCACACAAGTGGCTGTTGTGGAAGGAGTCCGGGGGGCGTCTGTGCGTAGTAGTTTTTCATGTCGCGCAACTCTGCTGGTGGTGTCAAGCGTCTTGTTGTTTTGCTACATGTAATGGTTCCTTGTGCGCTGTGTTGCGTTTGGAGTGCGGACCAGTGTGGTTCGGTCGTTTCGCACACGGCAGTATAGCCAGTCGCGCTCGCGGGTTCTCGATTCAACTTTGTTTTTTTGTGTTTTACGAAGAAACAGTTACCATTCCGTGTCGCTTTGAAATCCTCACTCTCGCCCCCCTGCCACATATCGGTTGCAGTTGGTGCTTTTCCAACAACTCAGCGCAGTTTTTTGTCGCTTCGAAGGGTCCCACTCTTGAGTAGACGCCGCTCTGCCGCTCGAGAAATTCGCTGAATACCCAATACTACACTTCTTGTTTTGTAGCTGCGCTTATCTCAGGTGTAGAGGTATGTCACGAGTTGTGACGATATTTCCGAAACACGTGCAGGTTGGAGTAAATTTTCGACGATTGAACGAAGATTCTTCCAACGGCGAGACACTACCAATGTATTTCCGGTGGTGATTAATTGTCACATCACTGTTGACCCCGATGTGCATCTGGAGACTTGAATAGCCAAAGTATCCGTTTGCGTTCCGAGGCTGTCAAGCTTCAGCCTGAAGGCTTTGTAGGACTTGAGTTCTTCGATGAGACTCCACCCTACCTCATGACATCATCTCTGCATGTATAGTTGCACCGCCTTTTTCTTGCACCGCTCGATATCCTTATGATGGCCCTCCCGCTTCCATTTCGTCTGCCCCTTTTTTTTTTCCAGGTACCGCGTCAAGCGCAACGAGTGGCCCCACGTGCGTGGTGTGGCGATGAACCCCGTGGAGCACCCCTTCGGTGGTGGTAACCACCAGCACATCGGGCACCCCTCGACGGCCAACCGCCTCGCCTCGGCCGGTCAAAAGGTCGGTCTCATCGCCGCCCGCCGCACCGGCCGCCTGAGGGGCATCCGCACGGAGAAGGAATAAGCGCCGATCCCTGACTTAAATGTGACGGTAGACCGGTTTTGTTCTTGGACCTTTGAGCACGCTCCGGAGAAAGGAGGACGTTTCCAGCTGAATGTTCGCACGGCGTTTTTTGTGCTTTTTTGAATTTCCTGATTTCATGTACCCCCGCCCCCCGCCCCCCCGAGTGGTTTTCTCTCGGTTGCGGAAGGAGGATGGACTGCGTCCGTTGGTAGCCGATTGGCCCTCTAGGATAGCAGAGGGTTTCGTTGTGACTGTTGCTCTTCGCGAGTTTCATGTGTGTCCCACCATGGCGCATACGAAAATGGCGAAAGCACGGTAGACGGTTTACTTCGAAGGAGTTGCTGGGGGGTTCGGTGGTTTCAGAGACGTCCCGTGTTATTTTTTCAGTTGGTGACTTTCTTTGTCTCGAGCTTGTGCTCTTGTTCATTTTGTGGGATCACTTCTTTCGCTAGCCACGGGAGAGGGTATGCTCTGTTCGCAATCTGTCGAAGCACGACACAAAAAAAAAGCTTGAACACCACAAGGAGGAAACGTTTCGCCTCGTCGCGTCCTCGCACCACAATATCGTAGTGGCTGGGTCATTCTAGCGGTATACGGCCAGGATTGCATCCTGTCTTCATTATCCCCCGATGCATCTTCGGGCGAGAAAATAGGTCACCGATGATTTTCGCACGGGGTTGTTGTTCTGTATGCAGATTTCTCGTGGAAATTGGCTGGTCAACCTTGCACGCAATGGTCGCAGGGTTTGTATGTTTCGGTCGCAGTTTGACCCTGGCCGTCCATGCCATCTCCTGAGTTCTACAGCCAATGAACAGCCTCAAACATAGAAACCATGCGCGCGACGAACCGAGGTGCATTGAAAGGGAGACTACGTCAATCTAAAGTCGCAAGGGGACAAACAAGAGACATGTATCCCCTCACGGGCATGGCCAGATGACGTTTGTGTGGCTTCACAGACAGCGTAAAACTTAAAGAGCACGCAAGACGCTGTGCCTTCTTCATAGAAAGCCGTGCTGACCTTTTACTTGTCAGCACGAGAACAGTATTGTTTGTCAACAACTCGAGGCTCATTTCTTTGTAACAAAACAACGGCGGGCACGAAACTGTGCTCAGCCATGGCACCACACGAATCTTATCCTGATGGTGGGTCAGCAAACAGCCTGTGCTCGACGGTCGAGACGCCTTGTTATGGTTTCAGCTTTATCAGAATAAGTGTTTCTTTCGAGTGGGCCGGCCCTCAAATGGATCCCCCTTCGCCAATGCACCAAACATGCCAACATGCCCACACCACAAAAAACGCCTACATACGCTGAACACCCGGCTTTGTCGATAGCGCCACGATCTCCTGCCTCCATCAACCCCTAAACAACGTGTGCAAACTCCTGATGCAACAGGTGGCAAACCCGACTATTTCAAAAATCAACGACCATGCGAACCGACAACTATACATGGCATGATACGAGCTCCTACCGTCACACCTGAAGTAGGCATTGCCTATTGCAACATGTTGTAAGATCGATTGTCCACAGGTGGCAATAGGCTCGGTGGTATACCGCGTAACCTCAGAACCACCCAGCCATGAAGAAACAATCTGTTGAAGGAAGAAGAATTGCGGCTAGATTTCCCCCCGAAACAGGACCTTCAAGTGAAAAAACACAGCTAACTCAGCGGTGGGTCGTACACTACCTTCATTCGATATGGTCTATCCTCGACGGTGGCAACGGGAAAAGAAACTGGGTCTCGAATCGAACCGCAAACGAAAATTGGTGTTTCCAATAATCGGGCGGTACTCTTATCTCGTCCATGTAAAACTACCTCCTTTGAGATCCTTCTCCCTAGAATGTGAGAAAATATTTATATTCTGGCCACAACGAGCGACGAGCTGGCATAACCAATGTCAATAGACACGCAAGAAAAAGGAGAGAGGAACATCTCTGCGGAAGGACGTCGGCTTGTCAACCACCTGCGGTGCTGAAGGCTGTAGCCCCGTGACGGCTACGGCGTTGTAGGTATGCGAGTCCAACCGCGATGACGACATGCACGGCTATGAACACGGCTATGAGTACACCCCCCCCCATCTCCCTTCTCCCTTCATGGCTGTATTTTCACGTCTGTTGATGTAGACGACGCCCGGGTAGTGATACCACACCCCCCCGCCGTCCTGCCGACAAGTCTTGCCTGAGATGCCAACAGTAACACCGCAGGTCATGATCTAGCCTTGCCCTTGCGCTTCGGCCTCCTACTCCTCGGCGCGGCAGCGTCCGAACCCGAACTGCTGCTGCCGTCCGAATCGCTTGCACAGTCGCCGCCCCAGCCCGTGCCCCCTTCCTTATGCGCGGCGATTTCGGAATCCGTCGGAAATTTGCCAGCAGCAGCCTTGTCGCGGACCCCTCCCCCCGACACTTTTCCCCGCTCTCCGTGCCTCTCTCCTCCACTGCTTACAGCGGGAGAGGACGTGACTCCGTCATTGTCTCCATCGTTTCCCGAGACCGTATTCGCCTGCCAACCAACGGCTCGCACCGCCTCGCTCCTCTCTTCTCGCCGATCGCCGCCGCCGCCGCTGCGGCTGAGCCTCGCCGGCGGCGGCTTGACGCTAGCATCCGACCGTACCGGCCGCCTTTCGTCGTCACTACCACTGCTATCGTCGTCGTCTTCTGACACGCTCTCGTAGTAGTAGAAGCGGCCTGAATCTGGTCGTGAGGCTTGGCTCACGGAGGACCTCACCGGCGACCTCGTCCTCACCGCACGGAGGCCTGCCGTCGTCGCTGAAGCAGCCCTCGTGGGCGACGCGGCGGGACTGTCACCAGCCAGATCGACGACGGATACTCTCGTTCGCCGGTGGGTGTTCGTAAGCCTAGCGGGGCCTTTTCCCTTACCCTTGCTGTTGCCGTCGCCGCCGCTTGCACCGCCGCCCGCGGCCGGCGGGGATGCCGCCGCCTTCTTCCGTTCCTCGGCCTCGCGGGTGCTCCCTCTACGCTCGCCGTTGTCGCTATCGTCTCCGCTCTCCGTAATATTTGTCATCGTTCGAGTCCTTCGGCGGCCGCGGCCTCTGCCGCCGCCGCCACCGCCGCCGCTGCCAGCGTATGCAGACACGCGAGCTGCACGGCGGGTGACTCCTGTGTGGTCCTCCTTCTCCTCCCCCTGTCTCTTATACACATCTGGGTTACA